AGGGACCATGATGGACATTAAGGAGAGGGAATACGGCCTGTAGGGGGCTTCGCTTGGAAAACAGCAAGGCACAATCAGGGTTTTTTCTTTTAAAGGTCTTCCTTCAAGCAAAACAAGCACCAGATCCTTTTGCTTGCAGGATCTGGCCTGGCTCCTCCAACACCCCTGGATCCCCATGGATCCCATCCCGTGGCTTTTGGAGAGGATGCCCAGGAGGGAAGGAACGCTGATCCAGTGTGTTTGAGGGAACTGAGCTGTCTCAAACCTGGTGCTGAGAGCACGCAGCACTTTCCTCCAGCCAAGTCCAGCACAGGAACCACAGTCACTGGGTTCTCATTAGCACTGGTTGGATTTAGGCAAGTCCTGATTAGCCAAGGTTACCCTCCTCTTCCCTGTCACTGTTTTGCCTTAGAGTAATGAGCATGGGGATGCAGCCCAGGCCCAGGAATATAAAAACACCAAAAATGGGATTTGCAGCAAGCCCAAACTGCTTAATTAGGAGGAAAACTTTCCAAAGTTTCAGCTTGGAAAAACAAGCAAATAACAACCCCAGGGCAAACACTTATATTTTCTGTCAGGTCCAAGGATTGTGTGTCAGTACTTTTGGAAGTGAAAAGATGTTTTTCCTGGGTAAATCTTTCCTGGGTTAGTTTAGAGGGGTTACATCACCTTGGAGCTGGAGGGAATGTCAGCAAAAGTGACCCCAAAACCTGGCACCTGAGGGCTCGGGAGCCAGGCTGCAGAGGGAGGCAGATAATGGTGCTGCTCGAAGGGGGGATCCCATGAAAGTACCTTTCTAACCCACTTTGTTTTATGCCACCTTGGAAGAGGGACGGGAGTGACCCATTAAACACAACAAGTGGAGGGGACGGTGCCAGCGGGCGGGATAGCCACATCCCCAAGCCCAGGTGCTGGCCCGGGTATTGTTTAAGAGGGACGTAGCCTCTGTTCCTGCCTGTTCGCTCCTGTTTGCAGATCACCGGTGAGCGGCACAGCCAGTTCTGCTCTGGAGCCCGCGGGTCACTCCCTGCATTGTCAGAATTCACCACTGATTCCTGCTCTCCGCTCCCTTGCTGCTCTTTCACAGCCTGTGAGAGCTCCTCTCATTGCAGACACTGAGCTCCCCTGGGCTGGGGCATGGTGCTCTGCCTCCCTGACGTGCTGGAGAGGGTGTCCTTGGAAAACAAAGTGAGCAGAAGAGGTTCATAGAAGGCAAATGAGCAGAAACTTTCTATTCCAGAGCAGGCAAGAGTGTGGGATAATCAGTGGGATGGAGATTGAAGCCCGGAAACCAACCGTGTCCTGGGCTGCATCACCAGCAGCGTGACCAGCAGGTCGAGGGAGGGGATTCTCCCCCTCTGCCCCACTCTGGTGGGACCCCCCCCTGCAGTTCTGTGTCCAGCTCTGAGGCAACAGCATAAGAAGGACATGGAGCTGTTGGGGCGAGTCCAGAGGAGGCCATGAAGATGCTCCGAGGGCTGGAGCACCTCTGCTATGGAGACAGGCTGAGAGAGCTGGGCTTGTTCAGCCTGGAGAAGAGAAGGCTCCAGGGAGACTTTAGAGCACCTTCCAGTGACTAAAGGGGCTACAAGGAACCTGGAGAGGGGCTTCTGACAAGGGGCTGTAGGGACAGGACAAGGAGAATGGCTTTAAACTCAAAGAGGGGAGATTGAGATGAAATCTTAGGCAGAAGTTCTTCCCTGTGAGGGTGGTGAGGCCCTAGCACAGGGTGCCCAAAGAATCCGTGGCTGCCCCATCCCTGGCCAGGTTGGACGGGGCATGGAGCAACCTGCTCTAGTGGAAGGTGTTGGAAGGGGATTGGAACTGGATGATTTTCAAGGTCCCTTCCAACTCAAACCATTCTATGATATCCCCCCTCCAGAGCTTCCTGTGAGTGGCTGAAGCGCACGTGTTACTGATGAGCATCCCCAAAGGCTATGCACATCTTGAGGTCTATCTCAGGACGTCACACCTCATCCAAAAAGAGCTTCATGGGAAATGCTGAAGAAGGCAGGGGACTGACAGGGTCTGCTCAAGCACTTGGGACACTTGGAGGAAACATCATCTGGTTCCCCATAACAGCTGGTTCGTTGCCTCTTGGCCGCGCTTTTCTTGTGCAGCTTCACACTCTGGGTTCGGACTGGCCCAGGACACCTTGATCCACAAAGGGCAGTGTGTGTGGGACCTCTGTGCCCATAGCTTGATGTGAAGACAGACAAGAGTGGCAGTGACCATGCCACCCACTCGGGCACACAGGCACAGCTCCATGGGTACACTGCCGAATATCAGGACTCACACGGTGACAGATGGAGCTGGTTTGTACCAAACCAGCAGGTTCTCATGCTGCATCCAGTGCTGTTGGTGGCAGCACCTCTTGCACACACACCTTTGGAAGTCACCTAAGTGGGATGGTCGCAGATGGATATGACTCTTCCCATCCCTGAATACTACTGTGGCGAGACCCTGAGGATTTGATTCCAAACTTCCCCCATAGCCTGGTAGTGCCCGAGGTGGTAAAAGGTGACTTCCACAGCCATCATCGCATTCCCCCAGGCACTCGCTGTGCACCATATCGGCCACCCATATCCCAGCCCTCCCGATTTTGCTCCCACCAGTTCCCATCCCACAGCACCATCAGTCCTGCACATCCCTGCCCTCCCAGCACTGGCTGGGCACGCAGCCTCTGGAGCAAGGCATCTGCATTTGTGGGCTTGAGCAGCATCTCCCTCTGGTGGCTGAGGAACAAGGAGTTACAGGGAGAAACGCCTTCCCATATCGGAGGTCCCAGGTCCCTTCTTCATCCTCCTGCTGAAAAAGACTTGGGGTTGCAGGAGAAAAGTGTGGGGAAGAGAGATAGGAAGGGATGTGAAGTCCTATGCCCATGCCTATCTGTGTCCTTTCTTTGCACACTTTCAGATGGAAAGAGGGGAAAAACCTTTCTCAATTAACAAACAGCTTGATTGTGGGGGGTAGAACCAGAATGGGTATAAAATCTAAGAAAACAGGAAAATGGAGTTGCAAAGGAGAGGGGATGTCACATCCAGCCAGCAAGCTGTGCAGTGGCTTGCGTGCAAAGCATCAGGACACCAAGGTTGAACATCCCCTACAGCAAGGTCCAGAGGACCTCTCCATGCTGATGTGCACTCCCAACACGAGACACACACAGAGCAAAAGCTGGTTTGGTTTTTAATGCATCATTATGTATTATCAAAGGTAGAAAAACCAACTAGATGAAAATCTCCATAATGTCATGGCAGCTCTGCTGCCTTCTGTGTGATGTGCAGTGAGGAGGACTCTGGACCAGCAGAGCACAGCCACAGCATGGCAATGCTGGGGTTCAGATGGAGACATGGAGCTTTTACTACAAGCAGCTTCACTCTGAAACTGGCACCAAGTGGGTTTCAGGTGCCCAGATCAGCCTGAAGACATATCTGGATGGGTCAGTGAGCAGTGAATGCTATGTGGAAGCTCTTTTTAGTAATTCCTTACGTGCCTGTCCTTCCTGCTGCCTTTCCTGCTCTGTGGCACCACCAGCATCCTGCCCACAGCAGGACAACAGCTGGAAGACACAGCCAGGTGTGCACTAGCTGGCACACATGAGCTTGGTGGTGACCCAGCTGACCAGACCTCTGCAACATATCAAGCCATGTCCTGGACACAAACCCTTGTCCAGCCAGCCTGGCTGGAAGCATTAGCTGAGACCCTGGTATTGAGGCTTTTAGTTCCTGGTAGAAATAAACCCTGCCTGCAATGGGGATTTTACAGTAGCAGGAGTGTGTAGATGTGCTTTGAGATTTGGCTTGAGGCTGAAGTTAGGAGGGAGCATCCAGACAAAGCTGGGTTATCTACAGCAAGGAAGAAGCTGGGCAGAAAAGGCCACTTGAGGAAGCAGGGTAGTGATGGGCAAGCAAAGCAGGACATAGCTTTTGTCTACAGTTCAGGGTCCCGAGGTTGTGATCTGCAGCATGAAGAGGATCTGCCATCCTATATAGCTTCAGCAAATGGAGCTGGTAAAGCTCACAAGGTGAACATACTGGGTGAAAATCAAATCAAGCACTGCTGAGCCTTACTTTAGGGCTTATTCTGCCCAGAAGGAAGGAAATCTCAGAGTAAAAGTCATCATTTTTCTGGTTTAGGCACTTGTTTGTCCTGAGAAGACTCCTGTTTTGGCCAGCCTTGAAGGCCCTGGAGACAGCAGCCAGATCTCCACATTGGGACAGGCCAGCAGCTTGTATAGGCACTTGTTAAAGGACATGCTTCAAGGCACTGTCACAAATATCTCGAAGGCAGCATGTTCCAGCTGCCTAGCAGGGTTTACATAAGTAAGTTTAATACCTAAACCCGGGCTTTTAAGGCTTTCCAAGACCTTTGAATCTCCAAAACTGCAAGTAGAAGATGCACCAGGAGGGAAGGCGATGTCCTAGTGATGGAGGACCATATCTGCCCAGCAGCAGGGGCACCATGGGGACAGTCTTCATGGCCAGCATTAACATCCCACAGCCTCTTGCTGCACCCTGTCACCGAGGAGATCACCCCAGTGCTGACCCAAGGTGACAACGCAGCAGTTTCAGGGTCACTCCAGCCACACAGACCAGTTTGTCCCCTCTTCCAGCTCCCCCAGTCCTCACTGTGGGCATCCAGGGCCAGCCTTGGGGGTGGAGGTGAAGCGTGGTGGCCTCAGCTTGCTCCTTATGACAGTCCCCTGCGTGCCGCAGTGAGTGTCCCAAAGGTGATGACACTCCATGAGGGCACCCCCTGGCCCCACAGCCTCCAAGCTCTCTTTGGGGTAACCCACCACCCCACTGCCACTTGTGTTGCTGCGGGAAGAGCTGTGCTGCAGATGCTTGTGAGCACAAGTGCCCAGGATTGGGCTGGCGGTCATTACCTCAAGGGATAAATCCTCTCCTCCTCCTTCTCTCAGGCAGCCTGGAGAAGCATGGGCTCCACTGTCCCTTTGCACCAGGGCCATGCTTGTAGCTGGGACTGTCCCTGCGCTGGGCGAGGTGATGCCTCCTGCACTTGCACTGAAATACACAGAAGAACCCTCGGCTGGATCCGGGGAGAAGCTGTTGGGAAAGGATATGGCTGGGGGAAAACCAGGCTCCTGCCCTACTCCATCCTCCTGTGCTGTTCTCACAGTGCTGCCTCCTGCATTCCCCACTGCCTGCCATTTCCCATCAGTCAGACCACATTCAACACCCCGAGGACTGGTTTCCCTTGTGGGGAGGGAAAGGTTTGCTTCAGGTTCAACATCAGTAGGTTTCCCCATCATCCATGTGCCAGGGAAAACCTCTCCCATGCCACTATCTCCAAAAGCTGCATTGATTGTGGACATATCTCCTGTCTTCAAGGCCAGCTTCACCAGCAGCCAGTGGTGATGGTTTGTCCAGCTGTCCTCCAAACACCCTCTGAATTGTAGGAGCAATGAGCCATTCACACTTTTGGGATCTGCCATGGTCCCTGCCCCTGCCAAGGACCCTCCATCTCCAGAAATTCCCAAACTCTGCCCATCCTGGGAGCTGTCTCCAGCAATCTTGTCATCACCAGCAGCTGCAGTGCTGCAGGTTGTCCCCAGGAAGCCCTGCCAGATCTCTGTGGATTTGGGATGGAGCAGGCTGTAATACACCACCAGGGCTGCGGCACCTGAAAAGAGAAGAAGGGTGTCACGGGATGAGTTCCAGCAACGTTTCAGTGAGGTGGCACCCCCAGATCCCCTTCCAGAGACACCACTGGGCACCAGATGTCCAAGCAGCACATCTTTCAAGCATTTTTAGGGATGCCAGAGTCCCATGGGAGCAGGTTTCAGGAAAGGGAGTGCTGAGCATGATCTCAAGACCAAATTTATCTGATTGATTTGCAGACCGATGGGTGCACAGCGAGGCAGCCACTGAACACCAGTGAGCAGGGCACAGGGCAGGGAGGAGCTGTGTGGTGCAGGAATCCTCCTGTCTTGCAGCATCCCTGGCCTCTAGCCATTAAATGAGACCAGCAGGTTTTTAAGACACCTTCTTACTACTATCCTACTTCTATCCCAAAATCATTCAAGTGCAGAGGAATTGCTCTTTATCCAGCCCAAACATGCCCTTTCTCAGACAGCGTTGAAGGGTACGTAGCTGGTCTGGGGAGATGCACAAAGCCCAGCCTGTGCATTTCACAGCACCCCTTTGCCCCCATCCTGCTGGAAAATGTGAGTGCTGATGGGTTGTTTGCAAGCATCATACAACCTCTCCCCTCCTTCAGCTGAGTTGTGCATTAAAGCTCCAGGGAATTTAATGCGCCAGCTGGCCACAGCTGCTTCCTTCTTTATGGGCAGGACATGGGGTAAGGCGTGGTATGGGCTAGGTCAAGAGCACCTTCTGCACCGTACCAAAAAATCCTCCCCATGGGCACAGAAAGCATTTCCATCACAAAAGTAGCCCTGGTCTTTGAAAGGAAAGAGGGTGGGAGAAATCTGCTGTTGTTCTGCATGGTCCCAGGGCAGCATGTCTCCAAAACATACCCAGTGATGGCTCATCAGTCACAAGCCACCTTCATACATCATCAGTATATGCTCAAAAGAGAACATTTCCCTGCAGCAATTGTGAGTGTTGTACCACTGCCTGCGCTGATCAGCGAGAACACAGAAAGCACCGATGTGCTTCAAAATTGCACATACTGAATTTGGCAGTGGTACCTGAGCCATGTAGTGACATTTCACCCCTTTTTGCTCGCTTCCCTCTTCAGGGATGGGCTTTTAAAATTAAACTCAAGGTAGATTTATTGTCAAATATGTTCAGACACTTAAGCTGAAAGAAATAAATACTCTGATGCAGCTAAAATAACCGATGATGCTCATTCACTCAAGCTACTCTCGAAACATGAAATCCAGGCTCCAAACCTCACCAGCTCATACCTATTACAGACCCTGACATAACGGCTCCAGTCACGCACAGGCTGTCCCTCAGCTCAGCCTGCAGGAACTGGGTGGCCAACAGCAGCAGGAGGGTGTTTTCCATTAGCATTATCTGCAGAGGGAAGAGAGTTGTCATTTTTATCCTTCTGACAGCTTTAGACATGCTTCCAATGACAGAAAACACCCAGTTTCTAGATTTTACTGATTTATTTTGCACCTAACTTACCGCTTAAAACATAACGGTTTCTGGACTGAACTTTCTGCAAGGTCCTGACCTTCTTTTTTACCATGAAAAATAACTCTGGCAGAGCAGCACAGACACTCTGGTGTTAGTAAGACACTGTGTGGCTGCTGCTAAGAAAACAAAGCCCGTGCAGAAGGTACATCCACCTTGGCTTTGTGTGGTCACCAAGGTGGATGTACCAGTAGATGCTGGATTTTTTTCAAGTGGTGATGTGACAGATGAGAGAGTCTGAAGCTATTGCTTCTCCCCAGCATCTGAATCCATGTGGAATACCAAATATCCCAGGTACTCACTGCATAAAATACAGCCACCCTGTGCTTGGAGGGGCCAGGCCGGACATTAACGTAGCAGAAGATGTACATGGCTCCCACCAGGCAGTTGAACAGCCTCCAGTGGCAGGGCTGGGTCACAATGTCTGTCTGCTGGGCTACCAGCCAGAAGGACATGAGCAACCAGTGGACACCTGCAAGGGGAAGGGTTGGAAAGAGAAAAGCCATTCCTGGGGGAGGCTGCAAAGTGCTCCGGGACCAGGAGCATTTCTGCATCTGACAGCGGGATGGGACATGGGGAAGATGATCATGGGTCTTACCTGCCACAGCAAAAACCCAAAAGGAATAGTTTCTGGCAAAGAGCACCAGGGCCAGGACCCTGGTCCCCAGCATCCCTGTCCTCCAGAGCAGCAGGCAGAGGATGGCTGCAGCCGGCAGGCGGAGGTGACCGGGCTTGAGCAGGCAGGAGAAGCGGCTGTAGGAGACCAAAGCCCAGGCAAGGGAGAGCAGGGACAGCCCCGCGCTGACACCTGCATGGGGACAGGGGCAGCCAGGTGCTCTGAAGGGTGTCCGACTGTGTTGTAGGACCATATCTCAGTGTTAAGGAGCTGCTGGTAGCACCCTGATACAAGCCAGACACCCGTCTGTCCTGCCAATTGGAGCATTTCAGCCAGTTCCTTGCACAATTGGTATCTGCTTGCTTAAATCCTCTGGCCGCTTTCTCCCATGGGCAGCCATGCAGCAGCACAGCATGTCCATCACTGTGATCAGACCAGACACTGGCACTGGCTCAAGCGTGGTCTTGTGCACACTGTGAGTCCACACCCCAAGCTTCTCCCTTTGCACACCTGAAAGTTCACCTCTTCAACAAAGCAGCCCCAAACCTCTACACACTCAGCACTGCCCTGATATTAGGGCTTGACCATAAATAGGAACATGTGTTGGGTTCAACCCCAGCCAAGGCACTGTCATGCCATGGAGATCCTCTGTGCAGGGGACTGACTGTTCTGGCCGGGAGAAGCAATGGGTATCTATCTCAGAGACTTCTCCAGGTTCAGCTGCAGCAATCTCTAAGTCACATTTGTCCCTGCTGCTTTGCACTAGGGGTTCCCAGTCCCTTCATAATGTGTTCCTCTGGATGGAGCCCTGTACCCTACCAAATGGGCACACACATCTCCCCAAATGCAAGCCCCCTCTGCAACTCACAGTACCCTCCTGGGAACTCACCACTCACCAGGGACAAAGCCTGCTGGGTCGACTGCCACAACAATGTATGCCTGCAGCAGGAGGTGAGGCAGGGTCTGCAGCAGGGCTTCCAGGAGCTGCAGCACACACACGTCCCCATGCTGCATCAGCACCTCTCCGGCACTGGCACTGCCGCCTGTCTTCGCCACCATCCACAGAACATCCCAGTACCTGCAAGACTCCCCGTGATGAGATGTCCACCCTGGTTTTGGTAGGTCTGGGGGAAGGCTTGATGAGAAGCATCACTCACCGCTTCCAGAGGCCTAGCTGCAGGAGGTGGAGCACGAGGAGCCAGCAGCCGGGCGGGCGGCCGTCCGCCCTGAACCAGAGGATGCTGAGGACCTGAGCCATGTAGCCAGGCACCACGCAGGCGACCGTCAGCCCGAACCAGCCCAGCTGCCCGTGGATAAGGTAGTGGATGATGGCACAGAGCCCTGGAGAACAACCGGGAGGCACCACTGAGGGACACACAGCCACGCACACCCTGCGACTGCGCAGTGCTACCCATAACCCAACCCAAACTCATCTCCAGCCAGCAAGGGGGTTCGCAGCCCTTGTCCCTGCCTTATCGCAGATGGCTGGCTTTGGGTGGCTTGTCAGCTATGGCACAGCCATCACCGCCAAGGGGCCTGGCCCAAGGGAGGGCTCTGATAAAAAGCACTTGGAGAAGGGCTCGTGAGACTAATTAATTAATTAAAATAATAAAGAAGAAACCACTAATTGTTTCAAGTTAAAAGCATACAGTGACTGGGGTC